ATATATATATATATATATATCACAAGGAGGGAGAGAGGAGGGGTCATCTGAAAGAGGGGAGGATATGCTTGAAATGTTTAACCCCCCCCCCCCCGAGAAACCAACCCTCCTCTTTCACTTACTTATTTGAGGGCAGCGAAGAAGATGCTGTGCCCAGAAGTAGAACGACAGAGATTGGAGAGCTATTAGTCTGAAATGGCGGAGGGTCTCCTGCTTGAGCAGGGGGTTGGACTAGAAGACCTCCAAGGTCCCTCCCAGCCCCAGAACCCTACGATTTTCAAAGATGAACACGGCACAACCTCACCGGCGTATTCTCTCCTGCGCTTCAAGTAAAGCTAGCCGATCTGCTGCAGGGACTTAATTGGAAACGAAGCGAAGATTCTCATCTCTATGCAAATGTCGGTGTTAAATAAAGATCAGGGAAAGGAGAGTTACTACCGGGAGCAGCTTCCAAAAAGAAAGTCTGCTCTCAGGAATAGCTTTCCTCCTGAAGGCTTACTCCAACCGCTGAGCCGTCAATGCAGCCACGAGGAATGAAAAGCCAGCCTTTGCAAGAAAGCAAAAAAATTCAACTATTTCGCTTTGAAACACTTTAAAGTTAAAGCTAAAGGCTTCCCTTGCACTTATGCGCTAGTCGTTCCCGACTCTGGGGGGTGGTGCTCATCTCCAAAGCCGAAGAGCCAGCGCTGTCCGAAGACGTCTCCATCGTCATGTGGCCGGCATGTCTCAATGCTGAAGGCGCATGGAACACTGTAACCTTCCCACCAAAGGTGGTTCCTATTTTTCTACTTCCATTTTTTACCTAGGTTGGCAGAAGCTGGGACAAAGAACGGGAGCTCACTCCGTTACGCGGCATTAGGGATTCGAACCGCTGAACTGCCGACCTTTCTGATCGACAAGCTCAGCGTCTTAGCCACTGCGCCACCCTTCAATGAAACACGCTAGTCAATCCCAAAACGAGGGCATTTCCAATTTTCTTCTGTTCTTCTGGAAAGGGGCTCCAACCCCCTTGTGAAGCAATTCCCCTCGGCGGCTTTCCTGTTCGAAACACAACCCGACTCACAAGAGTTCATTTTGACCGTTGGAAATGACGAAGGCACTGAAAAAAAGTGACCTTATGACTGCTTCTCCGCTTGCGAGCATATCGCATGGTCAGAATTTCTAGGCCGAGTCTACCTCGAGCCGGTTAGGATCGAACTGCTGGCAGTGGCATGCAGAGTCAGCCTGCAATACTGCGCTCTAACCACTGCACCCACCAGGGCGCTGTAGGAGCAGAACTGCCACCTTCCAAGGACCCTTTGGTTGTCCCGATTAATGCCTTCTCCCTTGGAGGTGCTCTCTGGCATCGTCACTAACTACGTTCTTAAATACAACACAATTTTTAATGGTTTTATTTAACCCAGATTTCTCCAACTTGTTGTCCTTCCCGAGTTATGTGGAATTCTGGGAACTGTAGTCCCAACAAACCAGGAAGATACGAAGACGTATAATGAAGAGTCGGTTTCTGAGGGGTTTTTTTGCTAGCCGATAAAAAGTCTCTGGAAATTCTCAATCATCCAGGTCATGGTTGTCCCAAAAAAGGCAATTGAACTTTCTTGGGTTTTTTTCCCTTTGAAAACATTTCGCTTCTCATCCAAGAAGCTTCTTTAGTTCTTCAGAACTGAAGAAGCTTCTTTGATGAGAAGCAAAACGTTTTCAAAGGGAAAAAGCCAAGAAATTCCAGTCACCTTTTGGAAAAACCATGATTAGATTATTAAAAATCTCCAAAGACATTTTTTGTCAAGGAATTTGCACACCAGGTGTTCAAATGAAGTCAGGGATGCTGAAACGTAGTTTTAGATAAATAAATATATTTAACATTATATTTATATCAGTCGATAGGCAAACAGGAGCATCCTGAGGTAAAATCCACACAGGAACATCATCATGAGGTAAATTACAGAGCAGGCAGAAGAAAAAGGCGGGAAACAAAGAAATGCCCCCTTTTACCCACAGCAACCAATCACAGAGCAGATTGCCTCATGCAGGAGCCGTCTCTCTCTAACCAATCAGCTATAGCTGTGTGCTCTGACTCATTGTGCAGCTAGTCCTCAGCGTACGATCATCATTGAGCCCAACATTTCTGTAGGTGAGAGACATTTAAGTGAATTTTGTCCATTTCACGACTTTTCTTGCCTCTGTTGTTAAGTGAATCACTGCCGTTGTTAAGATAATAACCGGTGTGTTAGGGGAATCTGGCTTTCCCCATTGAGACTTGTTGGAAGGTGGCAAAAGGGGATCACTGCAACCGTCATAAATATGAACCAACTGCCAATTTGAAATTTGATCACGTGACCATGGGGAAAGGTCGCAATTGTGGGAAAAAAACGGTCCCAGGTCACTTTTTTTCAGTGCCGTTATAACAACGGTCACTAAACATTGTCATCGAGGACTTCCGGTACCACCTCACGGTTCGAGCTACTAAATTTAAATACCTTAACACTTTTTGGCAGCTCTTACCTCAGAGCAGTGATGGCGAAACTTTTCGGTACTGAGTGCCAAACCAGAATTTGGGTCCCATGCGCGCGCACTGGAAACCCGAAGACCAGCTGGCTGGTGCATGCATGCTTGTGTTTGGGCCGTTTTGGGGGCTGTTTTGGGCCCGAAAAAACAGCCCGGAAAATGGTCTGGTTTTGGGGCATTTTTGGCCCCTTTTCAAATCATTTTGGAGTTTTTCTGATTGATTCCCAGCCATTTTTGGCCTGAAAACAGCCCACAAAAACACCTGAAAACGCTTCCAAAAAAGGACCAAAATAACTCCAAAAACAGGCCGGTTTTCGGGCATTTCTTGAGCTGTATTCAGGCCGTTTTCCAGTCTTCCAGTGCCTGCAAAGATCAGCTGGCAACGGTCGGCGTGCCCACAGAGAGGGCTCTGCGTGCCATCTCTGTCACGCGTGCCACATGTTCGCCATCACAGCCTTAGAGGTTGAAACTTCTTGAACAACACACGATAGTTGCCAACACAGCCCCCCTCCCCTGGTCTGGAGAATCAACACAAGTACTCCAAAACGAGGACTTACTGTTGCTTGCGGGTCAACTCCTGCTCCTTCAGGACGAGGTCCTGCTTGAGGGACGCCAACATCTCCACGCTGACGTCCACCTGGCGGGAGAGCTCTACCGCCCGATCTTCCAGCTCTTGTTTCTCGCGGCTGAGTTTGAGGCTTTCTTGCTTGGCTTTCTCCAGCTCGGTGGTTTTGCGGTCTAATTCCACTTGCAGCCGTCCCACTTGGGAGGCGATCTTCTGCTCCACTTCTTCCGTGAACTTCTCCAAACGTTTGTCCACTTCCAGCTTCTCAAAAGCCCGGATCTTCAAACGGGTCAAACCTTCTTCGTAAGCTGCGTCCACCGCCGCAACCGTCGCCGCGGCAGTGGCGGCAGACGCCGGAGGCGTGGCGGAGGAAGTCATGACTTTGCGGGTGAAGATCTCCGACAGCGGGATCTCGATCTCGTGGAAGTAGCGGGATGACGCGGTAGACGAGGAGGACTCCAGCTCTTCGGCCGACAGGAGGTCGCAAGTGAGGTGCTGTTCTTTGCCCTGGAAGGAAGTGCTTTCGAAGATGTCCCGGCGGGTCGCCGGGCTCAAGAGGGCGGCATCGGTCGGCAGGGGGAAGATGGTGGCATCGCAGATGCTGTTTGTCTTAGACAAGACGTAGAGAGTTTCATAGGTGTGATTGTACTCCAAGTGAGCCCTTAGAGAGGACAGGCTCCGGAAGCGCTTGTGTTCCCCGCAGCGCGGACAGCGGTAAGGCAGGTCCAGTGAGGCCATCCTTCAACCCAAGCCACACAACCTCTCGCGCAGCCCTCCTCCGCCGGGAACCAGCTGCCGGGACCCTGTCATGGTGTAGATCGATTGGCCAACAGAGACGCGGGACTCGGGCAGGAGGAAGGTGGTAGAAAGCGTGGTGGGACAGAAGACCAGTTCCACAAAGTCATTGCTGGCTAAGGGAGAGGAGAGGAACACCCTGGCTGCCAAGACAGAGAGGGACAGCCGGAGGATGGGCTGGCATCGGGCACAGTTGGTAACCCTGCAAAAAGAGAGAAGATGGTCAGCACTGTCTCCTTTCCTCCCATGTCCTCTGAGGCACCCCTTCCCCATCAGGGGTCCCCTGCACATTTAGGGAAGATGCTGAGAATAGCGATAGCAATAGCAGTTAGACTTATATACCGCTTCATAGGGCTTTCAGCCCTCTCTAAGCGGTTTACAGAGTCAGCATATCCGCCCCNAGTTCCAAGAAGGCTCCACATCCATTTGCGCCACTCAGGTGACCCTGAGGACAGAGATAAACCTTCAAGTGTCCTCCAATAGATCTACCCAACCACATTTCCATCTATTCTAGCAAAGGGAATCAACCAAGACCTACAGCCAAAGAGTTGATTTTCTTCCACGTTAATCTAGGAAGATTAGAAAACCACGTGGTGCATGGTCTGATCCAAGATAACTCAATTTCCTGATGAAAACTTAACAGGAAGTAAACAAAGATGAGATAATTTCTCTGCACAATTGGCACTATAATATCCATGCTGGAGAATGCCTTGTTGCCATGGCGTCCTTGCTTGAAAACTTTTAAGCATTAGAGGTTTATTCTACCTAACAAAAAAGAGCCAGTTTGGCCTAGTAGTTAAGGCACCAGGCCAGAAACCAGGAGATGGTGAGTTCTAGTCCTACCTTAGACATGAAAGCCGGCTAGGTGGCTGCAGGCCAATCACCAAGGGACCTTGCGTTCTACTCAAGACTGTGATTTCTAGTTCCGTCTTAGGCATGAAAGATGACTGGGTGACTTTGAACCAATCACCAGGAGACTGTGAGTTCTAGTTCCACCTTAAGGCTGAAAGCTGGCTGTGTGACTTGGGCCAATTATGAGGAGACTGTGAGTTCTAGTCCCAACTTAGGCATGAAAACCAGCTGAGCAACTTGGGGCCAATCACAAGGAGATTGTGAGTTCTAATCCTGCCTTAGGCATGAAAGCCAGCTGGGTGACTTTGGGCCAGACCCTCCAACCTACCTCACAGGGTGATTGTTGTTGTGGGGGAAATAAGAAGACAAATAGGTATGTTCACCACTTTGGAAAAGGTCTTAAACAAATAAAGAGAGGGAGAATCAGAAATGTTATCAGTTCTCTAGAACCCTCTCACTGTGCACCTTCTTATAATTAATTTCATCCCAGTGCAGCCATGCTGATCTAGTTTTGGACAAGCTTCACTTTTAATGAGTACCTTCAATAACCATGTTTTCTCCTGAAAGAAACCATGAAAAGAAATTTGAAATTGTACTGCCTCCTGCCGAGGGCCAGGTTTTTAAACTAATTCTATATGTCAATCCTGAAGCTGACCTGGCTGAAGCCCTCTTGAAAGCTTCCTGTTGCCACACTGGAGCTGAGGGAAGGGGAGGGAAGGGGGATTTGAGATAGCTGGGATTTTGTAGCCAAAACAAAATACTTTCTCTTGGGAACCAAGGACATTCTCACACCTGGTCAGAGGAAGGCGGAGTGATGTCACCAAGCAACCAGACACCACCGTGATTGGACCATGTGACTGATTGTTTTGAGAAAGTGACAAACTTTTACTTTTAATTAGGTGAAAACCACGGGAATCTTCAGAGTCGGTTTTCACCAGATCTGTGCCGATATGATATATCTAAAAAAGTTATTCTCTGAGGAATCTAACTGCCTCGGAGTTTTGCTTGCTATGGGTCTCTTGAATTGAATTGAATTTATTATATTTCTATGCCGCCCTTTTCCCAGAAGGGACTCAGGGCGGCTCACAACCCAAGTAAGGGGGGAGGGGGTAGGGGATATCCAAGGGGAAAAAAAGACATAGACAAACAATACCACAATTTTAAAAACAACTCAACAGACA